GTGTGTGGCAGGTGTGTGTGGCAGGTGTGGGTGTGTGGGCAGGTGTGTGTGTGGTGTGGGGCAGGTGTGGTGGCAGGTGGTGTGTGGCAGGTGTGTGGTGGTGTGAGGTGTGTGGTGTGTGGCATGTGTGGTGTGTGTGAGTGTGTGGCAGGTGTGTGGGTAGGTGTGTGTGGGGCAGGTGTGTGTGTGGCAGGTGTGTGTGGCAGGTGTGTGTGTGTGTGGTAGGTGTGTGTGTGGTGTGTGGGTGTGCAGTGTGTGTGTGTGTGTGGGGTGTGGGCAGGTGTGTGTGTGGTGTGTGTGTGTGTGTGTGTGTGTGTGTGTGTGTGGTGTGTGTGTGTGGCAGGTGTGTGTGTGTGGCAGGTGTGTGTGTGTGGTGTGTGTGTGGCAGGTGTGTGTGTGTGTGTGTGTGTGTGGCAGGTGTGTGTGTGTGTGTGTGTGTGTGTGTGTGTGGGTGTGTGTGGGTGTGTGGTGTGTGTGTGTGTGGTGTGTGTGTGTGTGTGGGTGTGTGTGTGTGTGTGTGTGTGTGTGTGTGTGTGTGGTGTGTGTGTGTGTGTGTGTGTGTGTGTGTGTGTGTGTGGTGTGTGTGGCAGGTGTGTGTGTGTGTGGCAGGTGTGTGTGGCAGGTGAGGGTCGTCCTCATACAACACGTTGCGTTATACACACTCATAATATTGATTGTCATACTATGTTGAGGTATGTCTTGCCCTCCTACCTCCTCCTCTCCCTCCCCTCTCCTCACCCTCCTCCCTCCCTCCCTCCTCCCCTCCTCCCTCCTCCTCCTCACCCCCTCCCTCCTCCCTCCCTCCCTCCTTCTAGCTTTTGTAGGCAACTTCTGTTTTCGAACCGATGAAAACAGGTCAGGTCAGGCCGGGTTAGGTTAGGTCAGGTCAGGCAGGTTAGGCTAGGTCAGGCCAGGTTAGGTCAGGTCAGGTCAGGTCAAGTTAGGTTAGGTCAGGTCAGGTCAAGTTAGGTTAGGTCAGGTCAGGTCAGGTTAGGTTAGGGCAGGTCAGGCAGGCGGGTCGCTTGGTCCCTAGAGAGTCCTATGGGGGCATCACCTGCCTCTAATAGGTTAGGTTAAGATCACTACTGATGGAGGGAGCAGAGGAAGGAGGAGAGAAAGAGGGAGCAAGTGGAGGGAGAGAACAAGTGGATGAAGGGATCAAGTGGAGGGAGGAATGGAGGGAGCAAGTGGAGGGAGGAGGGAGGGAGGAGGGCGACCATTGATTACCTGTCCACCTGGCGGCAGGGGAAGACACCAGCGGTCCTGCCCTCACACTCCTCTTGTCGCCTCTCACTCTGTCTGTGTCTGTCTGTGTGTCTGTCTGTCTGTCTGTCTGTCTGTCTGTCTGTCTGTCTGTCTGTCTGTGTTTGTCTGTATGTGTATGTCTTGTGTCTGTGTTTGTCTGTCTGTGTGTATGTCTTTGTGTCTGTGTTTGTCTGTCTGTATGTCTGTGTGTATGTCTTTGTGTGTCTGTATGTGTGTATGCTTTGTGTCTGTCTGTATGTCTGTCTGTATGTCTTGTGTGTATGTCCTTGTGTGTCTGTCAGTGTGTGTGTATGTCTTTGTGTGTGTATGTGTGTGTTCTGTGTCGTCTGTTGTGTGTGTGTGTCTGTATGTGTGTATGTCTTTGTGTTTGTCTGTCTGTATGTCTGTGTGTATGTCTTGTGTGTCTGTATGTGTGTGTTTTTGTGTGTCTGTATGTGTGTATGTCTTGTGTGTCTGTATGTCTGTGTGTATGTCTTTGTGTGTCTGTATGTGTGTGTATGTCTTTGTGTCTGTCTGTATGTCTGTGTGTGTAATAATAATAATAATATTTAACAGTTCATTAAGATAACATGGCAGCCCGAAGGATGAAAATATACAATGAACAGAGGTGATAAGTTACGTGGGGAGTGGGTCACTTGGTGGACGAGAGCTTCCAATACACAAACACTGAGTCAACATAGATGAACTGTGTCTGGTGCCGTGGGAGCTGGTCTGGTCTGTAGACATTCTTGTGACCTGATGTCGGCGCCAAGCCTGGTTGTTAAGCCAGGTGTGTGTGTGTGTGTGTGTGTGTGTGTGTGTGTGTATATACAGTAAATATAGCATAGAGATAATCCCACCATTACTACCATTACCACAATTACCACCATTACTACCACAAACTATAACTGCCACCATTACACTACAACTACCACCATTACCATAACTACCACAACTGCCAATTACCATCATTAACTACCACCATTAACCACATTACCATAACAACTAACAACTGCCACCATTACCACAACTACCACCATTACCACAACTACCACGTTTATCTACTAAACACCACCATTACCACAACTACCACAACTGCCACCATTACCATAACTATCAACTACCACAGCTGTCACCATTACCACAACTACCACCAGTACCTCAACTATTACCATTATCACCACAATTATCACTACCACCATCACCACTACAACCATCACTACTAATAATGCCATAACAACCACCACCACCACCACACCACCACTACCACCACCACCACCACCACTCACCACCACCACCACCTCACTACTCACTACTACTCACCACCACCCACCACCCCCACCACCACCACCACCACCACCACTACTACTACTACTACTACTCACCACCACCACCACCACCACCACCACCACCACCACCACCACCACCACCACCACACCACCACCACTACTACTCACTACCAACACCACCACCACCACCACCACTACTACCACCACCACCACCCACCACCACCACCACTACCCTACCACCCACCACCAATCCACCACCACTGCCTGGGTAATGCTGTGGTTTTATGCCTGAAGCAGTTTACACCTTCTCCAACCACAGCCCCATCCCGACCACAGTCTAGCCCCATCCCTACCACAGCCCAGCCCCTCCCTACCACAGTCCAGCCCCATCCCTACCACAGCCCAGCCCCATCCCTACCACAGTGTAGCCCCATCCCCACCACAGTCCAGCCAGCCCCATCCCTACCACAGTCTAGCCCCATCCCTACCACAGTCTAGCCCCCATCCTTCCACAGTCCAGCCCCATCCCTACCACAGTCCAGCCCCATCCCACCACAGTCCAGCCTCATCCCTACCACAGCCCAGCCCCATCCCTACCACAGCCCAGCCCCATCCCTCACCACAGCCCAGCCCCATCCTCTCCACAGCCCAGCCCCATCCCTACCACAGCCCAGCCCTCCCCATCTCACACAGCCCGCCCATCCCTACCACAGTCTAGCCCCATCCCTACCACAGTCCAGTCCCCATACCTACCACAGTCCAGCCCCATCCCTACCACAGTCCAGCCCCATCCCTACCACAGCCCAGCCCCATCCCTACCACAGCCCAGCCCCATCCCTACACAGCCCAGCCCCATCCCCTAACAGCCCAGGCCCCATCCCCTACCACAAGCCCAGCCCCATCCCTACCACAGCCAACCCCATCCCTACCACAGCCCAGCCCCATCCCCACACAGTCCAGCCCCATCCCCACCACAGTCCAGCCCCATCCCTACCACAGCCCAGCCCCATCCCTACCACAGTCCAGCCCCATCCCCACCACAGTCCAGCCCCATCCCTACCACGGTCTAGCCCCATCCCTACCACAGCCCAGCCCCATCCCTACCACAGTTCACTCCATCCACTACACAGTCTAGCCCCATCCCTACCACAGTCCAGCCCCATCCCACAAAAAATCTCTTATTTTTATCATAATTATTTTTATTTATTTACGTAACATAATACTCGATGTTTATATAACTATTAATCATTTTGAAGTGTTTATGATGTTGGGTAATGTTATGATGTTGGGTAATGTTTATGGTCCATAGAAGTGTTGTGATGTTGACTTGATGATGTTTGGGACAATTGATTTTCTTTAAATGTTGATGTACGATGTTTAAAGTGTTTTTAGCGTTATTTGATAATTAATAATGTTTAGGTTAGGGTTGGGCTGTACAATGTTTAAGAGGCTATTAAAATTTTTTGATAATACTACATAATGTTTAAGAAAATGTTAATATTTTGTGTGTGATGTTTTGTGATGTTTAGTCGTTTAATAATAGTTTAAAATATTCCATAATGGTTTAAAGGAGTTTTATTTAACATTTTCTTGATGTTTATGTAACAATATTAATCGTCCGAATGTTTATACTCTGCTAAATCCTATCATTCAATATTTCAGTGGAATGTTCCATGAGTAACGAATGTTTAAACCGTAGTGGAGATGTTTTATTGTTGTTAGATGATGTTTTTATTGGTACGAAATATGTTTAGGAATGTTTAAGGTGTAAATGAAGGTAATTATTCTCTCTGGTGTTCAATTGAGTTTAGATGATGTTGAGGCCGTGACCCTGAGTAATGTTGAGAGTGATAGTTTGGTGGATTTGTGTGGTGGGAAAAGAGAGTTGTGTGGCCACACCACCACCACTGACCATCTCCTTCACGGTGTCCTCTTTAAAACGTTCTATGACGGGGAGGAAGAGGGAGGGGAGGAGGGTGAGAGGGAGGGAGGGGTAGGGGATGTTGCGGGGAGGATAGAAGGGGGTGATACAGACTGGAGGAAGGAAGAGAACTGTGTGTGTGTTTAGGGGTGTGTGTGTGATATTGTGGATATCAGGTGTGGGTAGGTGATAAGATTAGGTTAGGTTTTTGCCTTACAGTAGAGTATAATCCCACACACACACACAAGACTATTTCATTTCTCCTGACTTGAGTAATCGATGTGCTGAAGGAGACCATTATCAAGTGAGCCTAAACTATAGTGAAATATATAAGAAAAAGTGAAGCTATGATGCTGTGTCTGTGTGTGTGTGTGTGCGTACGTGCGTGTGTGTCTGTAGTGTATCACCACCACAGCGAGGCAGCTCAAGTAATACTGACAGTTGTTGTGTGGATGGGTTTGGACTCTTCAATATTAGCTTGCTGTGACGGACTGGTGTGTGTGTGTGTGTGTGTGTCATAACTTACACCTGTCTGTCTTCCTCAGGTGGTAGTCGACCTGAACGCGGCGCCGCTGGAAGATGAACCAGAATGGTATTACCTGTCAGCCCACGACGACACCTCCCACACAGGAGCACCTCCCTCTCCCCACACATGGTGAGTACCCCTCCCTTCCCACACATGTAGTGCACCTCCCTCCACACATGGGAGTCCACCTCCCCACAACATGTGAGTACACCTTCCCCACACAGTCCACCCCCCACACACATGGTGAGTACACCCTCCCTCCCCCACACATGGTGAGTACACCTCCTCTCCCCACACATGGTGAGCACCCTCCTCCCTTCCCCACATGGTGAGCAACCTCCCTCCCTCCCCCACATGGTGATACACCTTCCCCACACATGGTGAGACACTCCCACACATGGTGAGTCCACCTTCCCCACACAGGTGAGTACACCTCACCGGAACCCCCCCACACATGGTGAGCACACCTCCCCCACACATGGACACACCTCCCTCTCCCCACACACAGAGTACACCTCCCTCCCTCCCCCACACACATGGAGAGCACCTCCCCACACATGGTGAGTACACCCTCCCCCACATGGTGAGTACACCCTCCCCACACATGTGAGTACACCTCACCCCACATGGTGAGCACACCTCCCCCACCACATGGTGAGCATCTCTACACATGGTGAGTACACCCTCCCTCCCTTCCCCCACACATGGTGAGTACACCCTCCCCCCACACATGGTGAGTACACCCTCTCCCCCCACACATGGTGAGTACACCCTCCCCACACATGGTGAGTCCACCTCCCCACACATGGAGGACACACCTCCCCTGGATACACCCACCACACATGGTGAGTACACTCTCCCCACACATGGTGAGTACACCCTCCCTCTCCCCACATAGGTGAGTAACCTCCCTCCCTCCCCCACACATGGTGAGTACACCCTCCCCCACACATGGGAATACACCTCCCCACACAGGAGCACCTCTCCACATGGTGAGTACACCTCCCCCACACATGGTGAGTACACCTCCCTTCCCCACACATGGTGAGTACACCTTCCTCCCTCCACACATGGTGAGCACACCCTACTCCCCACATGGTACGCCTCCCCACACATGCATCACCTCCCACACATGGTGAGTACCCCCTCCCCACACATGGTGAGTCCACCCTCCCCTCCTCCCACAGTGAGTCCACCCTCCCCACACATGGTGAGTACACCCCCACACATGGTGAGTACACCTCCCTCCCCTCCACACATGGTGAGCACACCTCTCTCCCCACACATGGTGAGCACACTTTCCCCACACATGGTGAGTACACCTCCCCCCACACATGGTGAGTACACCTCTCCCCCACACAGAGTCACACCTCTCCCCACACATGGGAGTACACCTCCCTCCCCACACATGGTGAGTACACCCTCCTCCCCACACATGGTGAGTACACCCCTCCTCCCCCACACATGGTGAGCACTTCCCTCACCCACACATGGTGAGTACACTTCCTCCCCCACACATGGTGAGTACACCTCTCCCCCACACATGGTGAGTACACCTCCCTCCTCCACACATGGTGAGTACACCTCCCCACACATGGTGAGTACACCCTCCTCCCCACACATGGTGAGTCCACTCCCCCCCACACATGGTGAGTACACCTCCCCACACACATGGTGAGTACACCTCCCTCCCCCACACATGGTGAGTACACCTCTCCCACACATGGTGAGTACACCTCCCCACACATGGTGAGTACACCTCTTGTACTCACATACAGAACTGTACTACACTATATAAGCTACCTTCTGCACTGTAACCTAACCTAACCTAACCTAACTCAACCCAATCCAAACCAACCCTCCCCCGCCTAGGTAGCGTTAAGGTGTTTAATCATCAGGTGAAGTAAACTGAGGTGTCTAATCTTCACATATTCCACAGGTTTATTTCAAAAGAATTGTTATTTCATTACCTGTTAGTTATGTCCTGTGGTTAAGTACATAAGTCCCTCCTCCCCACCATCACACACCCGTTTTCTTTGTTTCATTTTCTTTATTTGTGGGGAAACTTTTATTTTGGTCACATGTTTTTTTTCCCTTCCATTTAATCTAATATTCTGGTGTGTTGTGTCGTTGTGTCTGTAGGACTTCTGGGAGTATCCTTTGTCCCCACGAGTCCTTCTTCACACCTTTGTCCTCCACCTGGTTAAAGTATTCAGTCCTCCTCCTCCTCTTCTTTATACTATTATTCCTTCTTATTTCTTTTTCTCTTCTTTGTCTTTCTCAACCTGCCATACAACTCCCCGTGCATCCCATTGAGTACCATGACTTAACAGCTTGAGTACTATATCTTTAAACCCTTGAGTACGATAACCCCCTTGAACACTATATCCATTTGACTACGATGACCTGTAACGTTGAGTACGATGACCTGTAACGTTGAGTACGATGACCTGTAACGTTGAGTACGATGACCTGTAACGTTGAGTACGATGACCTGTAACGTTGAGTACGATGACTGTAATGTTGAGCATGATGACCTGTAACTTTGAGTACGATGACTGTAACGTTGAGTACGATGACCTGTAACGTTGAGTACGATGACCTGTAACGTTGAGTACGATGACCTGTAATGTTGAGTACGATGACCTGTAACGTTGAGTACGATGACCTGTAACGTTGAGTACGATGACCTGTAACGTTGAGTACGATGATATTAAACCCAGGGAATTGTCATCGCACTCCAGACGACTAAGTCACCTTACTCAAGAGAGAGAGAGAGAGAGAGAGAGAGAGAGAGAGAGAGAGAGAGAGAGAGAGAGAGAGAGATCACCCTCCACATAGACAAGAGTAACGTCACCTCTCAACCACAACCAAAAATACAAACAACCACAACAAACAAAAAACACACACCCACCACAAACCACAACCATACACAACTAAAACACACAACCACAAATATACACACAACCACAACTAACACAACCACAACCATACACACAACCACCAAACTCTCCACCACCACAAACCACACCATACACACAACCACTACAACTCTCCACCACACACAGCAAACACAACCATACACAACCACTACAACTCACCCACACAACCACAACAACACACACAACACTACAACTCCACCACCACACAACCACAACAACAACCCACAACAACCACCTATATTTTTTCTTTTTTTGTTTCATTTTCATTTCACTTTTATTCTATTTTTTCCTCAATTTCTTCATTTTTCATTCATTTCTTTCATCTCCTGAAGATTCGTTCCCTTCACCTACCCATAACATTCAGGTGCGTTTGATCTCCTGTGTGTGTGTGTGTGTGTGTGTGTGTGTGTGTGTGTGTGTGTGTGTGTGTGTGTGTTGTGTGTGTGTAAAATAAGCTGGTGGCTGGGTAGGAGGAGGGAGAGGAGGGTAGGGGAGGGTGGGTAGGAGGAGGTTGGTAGAGGGTTTGAGGTGTAGCTAAGACAGTTCTGTAGCTGTTGCGGCCATACAAGTGAATGTTGGCTTGTAAGAGTGGGTGTGTGGGGAGGGGGTGGATGGTGTGAGGGAGTGTGTGTAGTGGGAGTGGTGTGTGGGAGTGGTGTGTGGGTGTGGGGAGTGGTGTGGGAGAGTGGTGTGTGGGTGTGGGGTGTATGGTGGTGGTGATAGTGGTGATGTGATGGTAGTGATAATGGTAGTAGTAGTAGCTTATGGTGATGTGGGAATAAACACAACAACAGCAATGATAACAACAATAAATTAAATACATGAAGGAGAGGAGAGGGAGGGAGGGGGGGGAGGGGGAGGAGAGGGAGGGGAGAGGGAGGGAGGGAGGGTGAGAGGGAGGGAGGTGAGAGAGGAAGGGGAGGAGGTGAGAGGGAGGGAGAGGTGGAGGGAGAGATGTGAGGGGAGGGAGGGAGAGGTGAGAGGAGGAGGTGAGGGGGTGAGAGGAGGGAGATGTGAGGGGGAAGGGAGGGGAGAGGAGATGAGAGGGAGAGAGGAGGTGAGGAGGGCGAGGTGAGAGAGGGAGAGGTGAGAGGGAGAAGAGGAACCGAAGTAATTTAAAGGAAGCTTAGAATAAGGAATGATGGAATGGGAGGTTGTCTGTGTTAGGTTAGTTAATGGGATGAGATTCTTCCACCTTTCCTCTGTCCACTCTTCATATTCTCTCCCTCACCCTTCCCTCACCTTCCTCCACCTTCCCCTCCCCTCCCCTCCCCTCCTCCACCTGTCACCATCACACCTGGATGACCGTCTCCTTAACAACTCGATAGGTAATTAAGTGGTTGTTACACAAAATGGTTTGCTAATTAGGTGGTTGTCTGGAGCGGCGGCGGTAGTTACAAAAATAATGACGATGTTATTTACTAGTTGGCATCTCTGGTCAGTCAATTTAAGGACGTGTTTGTTCATGTTGATGGGAATATTTTTGTGTCTGTCTGTCTGTTTTTGTCTGTCTCTCTGTCTGTCATCTGTCTGTCTGTCTGTCAGGTTGTGTCAACCAACAAACGTAAGTAAATGAATTGAGTTAAAGTTTTTGTGATTTTGTGACAGAGAGAAGAGAGAGAGAAGAGAGAGAGAGAGAGAGAGAGAGAGAGAGAGAGGAGCTGTCTCTTCCTCAGGTAAATAATAAGACAGGTAGAAGTCCCCTGTCTCCTCTCGGTAACAACATTAATGAGACACCTGTTGAATACACTGTCCCATCACCAGGTAATATTAGAGTGAAGGTGTTATTACAATTCACACCTGGCTAATCTAATTTCCCTCTCCCCCTCTCTCTCTCTCTTTCTGTTTCTCCCTCTGTCTGTCTGTCGGTCTGTATGTCTGCCCCCCTCTCTCTCCTGTTATCAAGACAAGTAATGTGATTTTTCACATATTTGGTCCAATAAACTGTATGTTATTTATACCTGTTTGCGGTTCTTCTAGTTGTGTTGTTGCTGTGTGATTGTGTCTCAGGCTGGAGGAAGTAATTGTGATTGTGTTGGTTGTTGTTGGCAGATGGTGGCAGGTGATGGTGATAGAGGCTCTAGCAGATGGTGATAGTGGTAGTGAAGGTGGTAGAATGGTGAAAGTGATGGTGATGGTGATAATGTGGTG